GTGTGTGTGTGTGTGTGTGTGTGTGTGTGTGTGTGTGTGTGTTTTCTGACCTAAGTATTTGCAGTAGGTTCACACTGCGGGAATAAAAAATAAAGTGCATTAAAACGTTCCATGTGGAGCAGCCTATCCATCGATAATGTGTAACAGTTTGTATATTTTAAGTTAAAGACTTTTAGACCTAAATCCCAGACCAGACTTTAGCAGTTTAAAAGTCTTAATTTTTCTGATCAGAAGCTGAATTAACTATAACAGGAAAGAACAGGTGGACTTCTTAATGGGAACAAGAAACTTGGATTAAAATGAACGCACATAATTTTGTATTTTTGACTTCCATCCCATTTCCAGTAATTTCTACAGCCTAACCCTAAACTATCCTCACAGGTACCCACCTGTGATGAGACTGTGGGTTTGAGCACTGAAATACTGCCAGATGACAATGGTTTAAAAAAAGTTTAATAAGCACAACTTTGAAATATAGTTGGTCATCAGCGTATGTTCCCACACAATGACGAAATTTGTGCTCTGCATTTGACCCATCACATGTGAGAAACACCCATGTGGAGCAGCGGGCAGCGCCCGGGGTGCAGTTAGGGTTGGGTGTCTTGCTCAAGGACACCACGACATGTGGGCATGGCAGGGAGTCGAATCGGGTCCCAAGCCGGCTGCTCTACCACTACGCCACAGCCACACCCAAAAAAATGGCGGAAATCTAGGCAGAGGAGGGCAGGGTTAGTGGCAGCACAAACCTCTATATTAATGGGAGAGTAGATAAATTCCACCAACCTGTTTTCTTTAGAATAGGTCCAACAAGAAAATCCAGTTGCTAGATCTTGGTTCCGGCAGGAGGAAGTGATGTCACGGTTTGTTTTGTTTGGTTAAATCCATAACAAGTGATCATTAGTTTTTACCTGAATGCTTGGGTTGGCTGAAGACCAGAAATCTGGGAGACAGACGGGGTTCGAGAACCAGGAAGTGCCGTTAGGGGTAAGACGAGACGTAAATCCGAGGAGAAAGGCGAGGGTCATCGTGATAGCAGAGACTATCCGTCAGGGGCTGAGGCAGGAGTCGAAGAACCAGAGGACATGAACGGGGTCGAGGTCACAGGACAAGAGCAAGGCATGAGGAAGGTACGCTGGAAGATCACAGACTGGGCTGATGATAATCTGGCACTGTGAGTGGCTGGGTTATATGCTGGGAAAACAGGTGAATGGAATGAGGCAGATTAATCAAGGCAGGGTAGCGGTTCTGTGATGGGAGGGGGAGCAGGACAGAAGCCAGGCTGGAGATAATTACTGAGACAGAGAAGATGACAGAAATAAAAACAAAAACGGTGGCAGGCAGGATAAAAATCATCACAACCTGACCCTAAAACTAATCTAAACTCAATTCATACCTTAGTCCTGAACTGAAAACCTGACCCAAAAATGGAGTTCCACCATATTAGGACCAGTCTTTGGTCCCCATTAGGACTACTGGTCCTAACAAGGTAGGTGTGTATACCAGAAACGGTCCTAAAAAAGGGTAAAGCACACACAGAAGAGTTTTTAATGTCCTTAAATGAACTTAATTTACTTTTTTTTCTTTCATCATCATTGTTTCCAAAAGCAAACTTTGTCACAATAAAACGAACTATGGACGACAATGACTTTCTGCTTGTTTCTTGAAGGGCAGACTGATTCATCTTATCCAAGTTTCAGTCAAAATTAGGACCCGAGTGAGGTTTGAACTTTTGTTTTCTGTTCGAAAATAGCAAAATAGGTATTTTTAGACTTGAACAAACAACATTAAATGAGCGTATCAGTTTATCTGTTGTCTGAAGCCATTATAAATGTCTTCATCAGCTTTTGCTACAATGGATGTGTAATTTGCTAATGCTCCATCCTGACCCACATACATACAAATTCATGAATATTTAAATAAATAAATAAATAAAATAACAGGTCACTGCCAAACAAAATATAACAAAACAAAAAAGACAAACAGTAAAAAATTTTGGCTTTTAATTCAGTTTGAATTTTTTAATGAAATAATTTCTTTATGAATTTATAATTGTTACTATTTTATATAATTTTGTATTATAATTTGAATTCTTGTGTTTTATCAGTTGTTTAAAAATTCATAAATAAAGCTGTAATGCATGAACACTGAACATAATGTTGTTTTGCATTTGAAACGAACTCTATTGGAGGTATTTATGGTTCCAGAACAAACCGTTGCTTTGTTTGTGTTGTTCTGCATTAAGAGTTCTGTAAAACCTGTGTCTGCATGAATCACATTAATAAAAACTTGGATTTTTTTAAAAAGCACAGCAGCGCAGGAAACTCTAAACGGCTGTGAAGTGAAGCGTTTCTCCTGGTGCAGTGCTCTAAAGAAATTTATAATGACATCATTACCAAACTGAACATGAATTCATTAAACAGAGTCTGATAAAAAAAACAGAAACGGGTGCTTGTTCTGATGCTCAGAAGCTGTGCCAGGAAGAAAAAAAAACTACCAATACCACACTACTTCTTGTGTAATTAACCTCCATTAATATAAAACCTGCTGAGTCAGCAAAGTGTCATATTTTTTTATCCTGATACCTTCAGTTCACTCATCACAAATAAAAATGGCTGCATATTTTGAAGAAAACTGGCTTGTTTGTGTTTTTTAGATTCAGAAGAGCATCTCATTTAACAGAATCAGAAATCTTTATAAATATTTATGAATCAATTTAGCTTATAGTGTTGGTGAAATAACCCTTTTCATGCATTCTACATATTTCATCTCAGTAACTTACTGAGTCATGTTTAGTGGAAATTATTGGATGACTTTGTTTTCCCTGAATGAGCAGAATTTTCTGAAACAGAAGTTGTGCAAAGTGGAGGATTAAGGACTCCCCTTCCCCTTGCAGAGTCCCGATGTGTTCGAGACCACTTGTGTCAACGGAGAATTAGCCGTGCATACTTTCAGCCGTGTTTATCAGCACATTCGGGGAGTTGATGCAGAGATTACAGCTTCTGCAGCCATCTGGATCAGTAGAACCATCATGTGACATTCCACGTGTGGAAACAGACAGCTGGTATGCAAAACAACAGAGCACACAGTGTACAACTTTTGCATGCAGATTTTTTAAAAATTTTTAATTTAATAAAAATCCATTGCAGCTGAAGTTAGAATTGTTACCTCCGCCAAGGGCGAGGTAATGTTTTTGGTTGCGTATGTCTGTCTGTCTGTCGTTCTGTCTGTGGACAACATTACTCAAAAACCTGTGGACGGATTGTCATGACATTTTTACCACATGTGGGTACTGGGCCAAGGAACACACCTTTACATTTTGGTGATGTTCCGGATCACGATGTGGATACAGGATTTTTTTTTAACACTCTGAGACCGTCAAAGCTGTGATGCTTTCACAGGGCTTCTGCAAAAAACTGAGAGCTTTCAGTGTTCATTTGAACTGGATTACACAGCACGGACT